GATCTACAACATAATCTGCACTATTGCAAAGTAGACTGCGCATTATGGAGCGTGGTGCTTTCAAAACCCCATTATGCTTTAATCCCTCACGCTCCTCTAATGTATTTCCCACAATGCTCCCCTCCCAGGGCATCTTCCAAAACAAACATGGCATTTTTTTTTTTTTTTTTTTCAAGAAACGAGCAGTTTAGCGGATCAATACAGTCTCATCTGACTCTTGGGATAGGAGAAAAGCGCTTTCCTGCTGAGCTTTGGAACTCAATACATGTCTTTTTGATGACTTATTTAATGTTTTTAATTACACAACATGCATACTTACGCAGGTATGCATTATTCGGACTCCTATCCACAGTGAGAGAACAGGTTACATCATTTAGCAGTTCAGACTGCCTCATCCAGAGAGAATAATGGCCAGCTTCCTCAAATGTCTGACTCAGACTAGGGAGAAATAATGTCATCAACATGTAATAAAACACTGATCCATCCATCACATCCTTATAGTCATGATGGTTATTGAATTTTTAATGTTTTGTTTAAAAAGCTTTCACTCTTTACACATCACCAGCATTTTCAGATTTATGAATTTGTTGTTTTCTTCTTAACAATAAATTGTTTGCTGCCTGATTTAAGTAACCTGTCATGTAACTGTTTACCTAAAGTAGTCCAAAAATCAACTTTCACCTTATATTTACAAAAACCAAGTTGATTTATATTGTTCACCACCAATATTTTTGTATTTTATGATTGTATTGTATATATAAATGCCTCTTTGAAGCAGCATGGAGAGCAAGTTGGAAAAATAAACAATGACATACAAGAGGCTGAAGGGGTCCATCTAGAGGGGAACAGAGTGAACTGCAACTTTTGAACCTATTTCACCTTTTTCATCCCTCAAATTGTTCACTATAAGCCTATATTGATTATCCTGGGAATGACATATAGTGCCCAGCACGTTCTTTGGGGGAGAAGGTAAGTCGATAATGGCTCGGTCTGGAAAGGGACCTCAGTATTGATCTTAAAGAAGACTAGACCCCAGCCATACGGTGGGAGAGATACTGTGACTTGTCTTATGAAATCAGACACCCCCGACAACCTATTTGAAAAAGGCTCAAACCTGGATGACTGTTTGAGGCCCAGGTTGTTTGTAAATATTGCTACGGTCTCCTCCTTCCAACATCCCAGCTGGGGTTTGTGAGAGGCCCCCCAAGCTTTGATGTTTTAATGGTCTTTTTCATCATTATTCCAGTGTCAACTTGTTAACCCCAAAATGCAGTGCGATCAATGCATAGTGAGGTATTCTCCAAAGGGCAGCACTAAAGCCAGGTCACATTCAAACACATGGTCATAAATAGTCTCAGTGACTGCAAATGCAATCGGCTGCTATTAGTGCGATATCTAGCCTATGTAAGGTCCTTCTGTACCTGATTTAAGCAGGGTTATTGAAAACTCTTCAGTTAAAAAGGATCATTATTTAGAATGATGTTAGTTATAATAGTATAATATATTTATGTTAATTAGCAAGTTGAGGTGTAGTTCAAGGTGATTCTTACCGTTTCCATCCACAGGTGCGATTTTTAGAGTCAGTGTGAATTGTGTGCTCACCACCACAGAAATATTGCTCTGACCATTCCCAACTGTGGCAAGGGGCTGATAAAGACACTGCAGAAGAGGTAGATAGCTGTCATTTAATTGTATTTATTTAATGTCATTTTTGACCATTCAAGCTGGCTCTACAGGTTTGTATGAGATATTACATAAAGGTTTATATTGCTCACAAAACTTCTAACGCATTGACGTTCAACCTGTACATTGTCACGGGTGCTGGTGCAATACAAAGTGCACGACGAAGAATAATCCAACAAGGACTTTACTGATAATTCTGAAGAGGAGTACATCCAAACACAAGCAAATCAACATCAGTAACCGGCAACATAAAGAACAGAACGGGGAGTACTTATTCTAACGCAAACAAAGGACTAATGACTTGATTAACAGAACACAGGTGAACACAGGCCCAAACTAACTCAGATAGACATAAATATATGCCCTTTACTTTGCACAAGGCTTAATTTATAGGGGGAAAATGTTAAAAAATTCACCATTTAAATTAATTAAACAATTTAACTACGTGACATTATAATATAAAACCAATACTAAAATATTCGGAAAACATCCCTGTTATTGCACAAAGCTCCGTTCTTCCCTATAATGCACAAGGCTTGTTTTTTCTGATTATGCCTTTATTGTTTTTATATACAGTACTGAATCCATATTTTTCATATGTTTTATATACTGTACCCACTTAAATTAATTAAACTCTGACACAGTTTGAGATAAATGTATCAAACCAACTGTAAAATATTCAGAATATTATTCCCTATAATGCACAAGGCATGGTTTTTCAGAGTATGCCTTTATTGTTTTATTTATTGTATTATATATATATATGTGTGTGTGTGTGTGTGTGTGTGTGTGTACATACATATATATACATACATACATGCATACATATATGCACGTATGTATGGTCTTCCAGTTTAATGTATTGAAATGGGTTCCAGGACTGTCTAAAAAAATTAAAAGTTCAGTACTCTATATAAAAAACATCAGATTAATGAGCTGAAAAATATGCAGATGGTGTGATATCTTTAGCTTAAATGGTGTTTAAGTTTCATGGATATAAATGGGATCAATACTGTCAAAAAAAAACGGTTTAATAATCTGAAAACCGAATCTTGTGCATTATAGGGAATAATATTTAGAGATTTTTACAATTGGTTTGATAGCTTTATCTGAAATGGTGTCACTGTTTAATGAATTTAAGTGGGTACAGTATATTAAACTTATGAAAAATATGGATTCAGTACCGTATATAAAAACAATAAAGGCATAATCTGAAAAACCAAGCCTTGTGCATTATAGGGAATAATATTCTGAATATTTTACAGTTGGTTTGATACCTTTATCTCAAACGGTGTCAGAGTTTAATTAATTTAAGTGGGTACAGTATATAAAACATGTGAAAAATATGGATTCAGTACCGTATATAAAAACAATAAAGGCATAATCTGAAAAACCAAGCCTTGTGCATTATAGGGAATAATATTCTGAATATTTTACAGTTGGTTTGATACCTTTAGATCAAATGGTGTTGTCGTTTAATGGATTTATATTATTGCATACATTAAAAGTTGTAAAATAATTATAAAACACATAAAATGGTAATTCCAAAACGGAGCTTTGTGCAATAACAGGGATGTTGTGCAATAACATTTTAGTATTGGTTTGATATTATAATGTCACGTGGTTCAATTGTTTAATTAATTTAAATGGTTAATATTTTTTTTACATCCCCCCCCCCT